ACGGAAAAAAGACAAAACAAAAAAAAAAAAAAAAAAAAAAAAAAAAAAAAGAAAAAGAACAGCTATTGTTACATTAAACAACATGGATGAATCTCAAAACATGCTGAACACAATCCAGGCACAAAAACCTGTATGTTGTGTGATTCCACTTATACGAATTTCAAAAACATGCTGAATTAATCTGTGGATATAGAAATCAAAACAGATGGCCCTTAGGAAGTGGCAATTAACTGGAAGTTCAAGAACAGGCAAAAGTAATCATGTGAATAGAAATCAGAGCAGTATTGCCTAAAGGGGATGGAAATTAAGTAGAAGAAAACTTTCTAGAGTAAATGATCTACATTAAGGTGGTGGTTACATAGGTGTATACATTAAAAAAATTCATTGAATTTTATACTTAAGATCTGTGCATTTCATGGTATGTAAATTTTACCCAGTGATGGGATGAATAATAACTAAATTGAAGGAAGTGGGGTCTATTATCACAGTTTGTCACATATAGGTCCTTTAGTTTATCAGTCAAGGAAAGAAAAGAAAAAGGACAGTGTATGAGTATTTAGTGTTTACTGAACTGTAGGAGCACAAAGATGAACTGGTTGCTGTTCTCAGGAGGGAACACTGCACTGTGGTCACAACAAGAGATCCTGGGGAAGAGGCTAGAGGGGAGCTGGGTGGCCCTGGGAGCCCCAATTTAGTCTCAGGGGGAAGGGGTAGTGAAGGCATCTCAGAGGGGCTTTAATGTCCATCGCCCTGGCGCTGCCCTGGGAAGGACAAAACTTTCTTAGTCTCCTGTGCCTTAGTTTTCCAGCAAGGGTGGTTAATAGACTCAGTTCTTAATTCTAAGGGACCGTAGTTGTGTTATGGAAGAGCCGCTGTGTGCAGCTGGGTTTCTGGGACTGCTGCCACACTCTGCGGGTGCCCTAGGCAGGTAGAAAAGCCATTTCTCAGAGCTCCTTAGACTTGGAATCGGGGAATGGTGTGGGTCCTGGCAATCATAACTATGGCTTTTCCAAACGCTTTAAGCCCCTCTTTTCCCTAGGTGACATTTTAACATATTAGGTCACAGGTTACTGAGCTACTCATCCCTTTTCTCAAACATTTTAAACCTAAGTGATGTGACAGTTGGGGAAAAAGTCATTTACTGAAAGACAAAGAAGACCACTTAAATTTGCATTAGAGCACAAATCTTCAGAGTCTCTCTCTAACGTGATTTTCCTCACAATTCTGAATGCATGATGTAGTGAATATTGTACTCTTGTATAAACCCTTTATCTTCACAACACATTAGTGGGCAATGAAATTTGTTAAGCAGGCTTATTACTAAAAGGAAAAATTCAGGCTTTGGAGAGGAATTTCTTGCCTGATGTCACCTAGGTAATCATGCTAAGAGATAGATCTGATACCAAAGTCCCTCAGCTGGCTGGATTATAAAGCTTCTAGGATTGCTGACCTCTGAAATTCAGGTGATTTTGGATAATTTAGAGGTTAGTGATAGATGATCAGATTTTCCAGACCTGCAAATTGAATCTGTGCTTTCCTGCCCCGTAAGTGCTTTGTCCTAGTGTTGGGATGGGAAGGAAGAGATTTAAGAACTGGAATCACTGAGAATGTTACACATTTGTTGAACAGACTCTAGAGCCTGATTTTGGTCAGATTGTGTCCCAGATTTTAGAATGTGTTCAGACATGAAGGATTCACTACCTGTGGTATCAGGTTTTCAACTCACCTGTGCTTCTCTTTCATGCACTTGTGGGACTGATTGAGGGTTATTTTATGCATTCATTCATTACTCATTTATTACCATTGAATTGCTAATTTGTTCTACACTAAATGAAACAAGGAATTGGGATCCCCAGTTGTATCACTAACGGGTTGTGTGACACAGGCAAATTGACTGCTCCTTACCTCAGTTTATACAGTTGTAACATGGGTATAGCAATTCTTGCCCCAAGTGACTGCAGTGGCATATTTGAGGATTGAGATAAATGTATATTGCAATGTTTTGACAAATATTAAATGCACCCCTATGAGAGAGTATTGTTGTTGTGCGGGCCAGCATGAGTTAGGCCAGTGGTTCTAAACTTCAGTATGAGTAATGATCCTTGGGGAGTCTATGAAAATACAGATTACTGAGCCTACTTTCAGAGATCTGAGGTCTGTGATGTAGGAATCTGCATTTTAAGAAGCACTTCAGGCAATTCTGATGCAGATGATCTAAGGACCCCACTGAGAAACACTGGCATATGTGCAGAATATTGGGGACTCCTCAGGAAGGCTTCTGTTCTCAGGGTGATCCAGGGCCCTCATCTAGAGCCGTTTGCCAAAGGTTAATTTGTACATGTTCAGAAGTGATGCCTTTCATTTCTGATGTTTGTCTGCATGCCCTTAAAGGGACTAACACTCAGTAGGTGCTTAGTAGAAACATGCTGGCCTCCCCTACATGCAGAAAACCATGATTCTGCAGGTGAATAGGCTGGAGGGTAAGCAGTCTTGTCTTTTCCTTTTCTTTACAGCAATGCAGAGTCTTCAGAGAAGAGGTTCAGAATGAACAGCTTTGTGTCAGACTTTGGAAGACCTCTGGAGCCAGATAAGGTGTTTTCTTGCCAGGCCAACGAGGAGTCCAGGTCTGTTTTTCACTGCTACATCAGTGAAGTGGAACACTTGGACAGGGCCAAAGCTTGTCACCAGATCACAGCCATCGACAGCGATGTCCAACTCCAGGAAGCCATCAGAAGCTGCAGGCGGCCAGAGGAGGAGCTGAACAGGCTCATGGAGTTTGACATCCCCAACTTCGTGAACACAGACCAGAAGTCCTCCTTTGGGGAGGATGATCTTCTGATTTCTGAACCACCTATTGTTCTAGAAAACAAGCCAGTTTCCCAGACCTTGCACAAAGACCTGGATTGAAAAACATGCTCTGTAAAGTGTCTTCCTGAAGATGTGGGTTCTGTCTTTGTATGGCAAGATATTTTCATTCACCAAGATTGCATGTGTGTGTGCACGCATGTGCGCATGTGAGAGAGAGAGAGAGAGGGAGAGACAGAGAGAAGAGAAGACAGCTGAGTAACAAGAAAGCTGATTAAGCTGGGGGCTTTTTGTTTGTTTTTGCCTTTAAATGCATTTGGGGTGTTTTTTGTATTAAAGTATTTACATTATCTCATATTCCTTCTTGTTGAAAAATTTGGCCAAATCCTCACTGTCAATATTCTTGAATGAGGGTTAGCATCCTGCGCTCTAATCTGACCCTGACACTACCAGGCTCTACCATTAGCGAGATGCTTTACCTCTCTGGGTTGCCACATTTTTAACTTTAAGGTGAGGTATCTGCAGTTGATGATCCATCCCAGCTGTGATATTTTGACTTTTTAATATTTAAAATATGACTTTGCATCCAGAGGAGGCAGGGATATGCATAAAGCAGTATGAACTAGGGCACTGCCGCCTATCTCTGTAAGATTCCCAGAATTTCTGTACCTTCCACTGAACCCTTAATTGAGCCCAGCTTTAGTCAGGGGGTCCAAGCGTCTACCAAAATGTCAGGAGACTGACTTTACACAGTTACTGGGGCCAACATTTCTGCTAGGTTGTGCTGAAACAGCTCTTCTGAGGACCTCCAGCCACCTGTGCCATGGGATTCCTGGGAACGGGCCTGTCCTCAGAATGAGTACCAATCTATGGTATATCACATGACACTCCTGTCTCCAAGAAACGTAGGGAAGGTTGTCAGCTGAGTGAGGGGAGATGCTTCTGTGTGTCTCTGTGTTGGTGTATCTTTGCTGTGCCATCGGCTACAGAACAAGAAAAATACTATTTCCAGGGTGTCTGTTTACTTGGCGAATGTGTACGTGATGGTCATTGGCTTTGAACTGAGATGGTCAGTGGGTTGTAAATACCCCCACTAACAGGTATTCAGGATGGCTGGATTATGCTGCCATGTGGGCAACACAGTTGATTTCATGAAGGAGTCAAGGCTGCGTGCTGGGGTGGGACACACCTGGTTCTGCCCCCACAGTCACTGCATGCATGGCCGGCTGCCAATCGCTGGGCAGCATTTCCGCTATGAATTTGTTCACTACCTGTTTTGCTTAAGCTACAAAATAAATGCATTTGACTACCCAAGAAATTTTTCTGGTTCTTTGTTTTCACACATCCAATTTTTCATTTCCTTAAAAATTATACCATGTCTATAATGCCTCCTAACTTCCTGAAGTGGGCAGTGCTGACTCTGTCATCTCTGGGACTCTAGCGATTGACCTGAGTCTGCATGAGATTTTACTTAGGAATTATTTCACCAAAAGAAATCCCTTTCCTGTAATGTCTTTTAAGGAAAATATTATTCTTTAGATCCTAACACTAAACAGTAGAACAAAGCAGAGAATATTTCTTGTAATTAAAGCTACTTTAACACATTCTTGCAAGTAGATATTTGCTATTTTCGCAAATATTTTCATGCAAAAGAGCAAGAGTAGCAAAGAATGCTGATTCAATGAGTTCCCACTATTATGAGTATTATCATTTATAATTTACTTAACCAATTATAAATTATGTGCTATTTCTTATTAAGGTTCAAAGCTACTCATGTGTTATCTTATTTAGAAGCATATTTATTAGAAAACTCAAAAATATTTAAAAGTTGGAAAAATACCCATGACTATACTGTCATTTTTATGAACTAAATGCTAAGAACTGTGAAGGTCTAAGATTTCACCCCTCTTGCAAGTTAGCTTGTCACAGTCTCATGGATGCAGCCAGAAGATACAAGACTCCTGAGTCAGAGGCAAAGAACCTCATTACAGCACGGCAGGCAGCAGGTGCTTCCTTTTCGTGTTGGTTCCAGAGTTTATTTCCTATTGCTTTGTAACAAATTACCATAAAATTAGTGGCTTAAACACACAAATTTATTCTCTTATGGTTCTAGAGTATAAAAGTCCAAAATCAGTCTCAGTGGGCTACAATCAACGTATTAGCAGGGCTGTGTTCCATCAGAAGATCCCAGGGAAGAATTTATTTTCTTGCCTTTTCTGGCTTCCAGAGGCTGCTTACACTTCCTGCCTCATGGTTCACTATCACTGTGACCTGCTCTTCCACTTTACATCTGTCTCTGACTGTCCTGCCTCTCTCTTATAAGGACCCTTGTGATTACATTGGACTACCTAGGATAATCTCCCCATCTCAAGATGCTTCACATAATCACATTGGCACAGTACCTTTTGCCATGTAAGCTAACATATTTGCAGGTTCCAGAGGTTAGGATGTGAACGTGTTTGGAGGGGCCTTTAGCCTGCCAGTCCTCCCTTTGGCCCAAAGGTTCATATCCATCCCACATGCAAAATACATACACCCCACGCCGATTTACTCCAAAGTCTCAATTCATGACAGCATCAACTCAAAGTGCAATATATTATCTAAATCTTACCAGCTCAAAGTCCCGAATCTCATTATCTTAATCATCTAAGTCAGGTATGGGTGAGATTCTGGAAGGAAGAAAGGAGTCACCAATCTCAAGAAATTTCAAAATTCAACTGAGAAAACTCTATTAGGTTGCAAGGCCTGGAAATAATCTGTGGCTTATGGCTTTATTGTTTGGGCTCAAAGTTCCACCCTTGGAGTGATCCTTCCTTTTTCTTGAAGTGTACAATGCATTTGTAGCTGAGTGGTTTCATCAGCCTGTTTCCTGAATGGAGAATTTTAGGAGTCTGACAGCATCCTTTTATCTTGTCCTCTCCTTGTCCCGTTAAGTTCAAGTTGGCAGCGTTTCTGCTGCTGTGCCATTTCAAGTATCTATGGGTTAGAATTTTAGGAGTCTGACAGCATTCTTTTATCTTGTCCTCTCCCTGTCCCGTTAAGTTCAAGTTGGCAGCGTTTCTGCTGCTGTGCCATTTCAAGTATCTATGGGTCTCCTGGATATGTTACAGGAATTCATTCCATTAGGCAAGAGGCTCCTCCACAGATCATTTCTGAATAGCCCCATCTCTTTTCCTCACCTCTCTGCTCAGTTAGGTTCATGAGTCATACTCCTAATCTCTTCAAAGAGCCCCCTGTGTAATTTAATACAAAAAGGAACTTTTTGCTCCTTTCAAGACACTAGCAAGGGTTGTCCAGTCCTACCCTTTTCTTTCTCTCCAGAGCATGCTTTCCTAACAGTGAATCTCCTAGTATTAGTGTCTTTTGCATTATGAACAGGTTAAGAATTTCCCAGATCATCAAATCCTGGTTTCCATTTCACTTAATGGTTCTTCCCTCAATTTCTTTCTTTCCTTTTGCATTTAACTATAACAGCAAGAAGAAACCAGACCTTGTTTTTAATGCTTTGCTAGGCAGTCTCCTTATCTAAATGTCTGAGTTTGTTGTTTCCAGATTTTGCTTTCTATATAACTGCAGGACACGATTCACCTAAGTCTTCTGCCACTGTGTAACAAGGATCTCCTTTTCTTGAGTTTCTAATAACACATTCCTCTTTCCATCTGAGGCTTCACCTGCAGTGCCTGTAATGTCCGCATTTCTACAAATATTGTTTATGATGATTTAGGTATTATATGAGATATATATTTTTCCTACCACGCTCATTATTTCCTTCTGAGTCCTCACTAACAAATTAACATCCACATTTCTACCAACAGTCTGCCCAAGGCAATCTAGGCATTTTCTATCATGCTCCTCAAAATTCTTCCAGCTTCTGTCTGTTGCCCAATTCCACATATTTAGGTATTTGTTACAGCAGCAATAAGCAATTGATGTAGTTCTCCTTGCCCCCAAGTCTCAGGGGGAGGAGGAGATAGAGGGGCTCAGGTGGATGCTGTGCACCCACTTCAGGTTAAATTCAATGGGTTGCTTTCCTTCTGAAAGCTGCCAAGACTTTGCCAAAGCATACGCTATGTATGTGAACTATTTTATTATCTACTGAAATACTAAGCGGTAGAACAATTATCCATCGTGTCACCCAGAAATGGTGTATGGTAGAAATAGGAAGTCTTTATGGCTAGGCTAGGCTTTTAGATATCTTGAGGGAGGCGGCTTCAAGTCAGCCTGTGATCAGTGGTCGTGAGTTGGCAGCCTCTGCTGCTTCTTGAGGCAGATGTGTGTGGGGTGTAGAGAAAATATTCTTGTTTTTCTACAGAGTTGGGGCTTTTGAAGAAATCTTGCTAGGGATCCTGGGCTAAGAGCTAACTTTGGGAATTTAATTTACAACTGTATAGTGAGTGAGAGAACACCAAAGAAATATGCCTGACTTAGGAGGTATGTGTTTACATTTCAAGGGGAAATAGCCAGGGTCAGTGGCGCATGTCTGTAGTCCCAGCTATTTGGAGAATCAAAGGATCGCTGGAGCCCAGGAGTAGGAGTTCTGGGCACAGTATGGTGACATTGTGGGAGCAGGGGACCACCAGGCTGCCTAAAGAGGGGTGAACTGGCTCAGGTTGGAAATGGACCAGATCAAGGGAAAATAAGTTCCGGGACCTTGGAGACAGCTCTAGATCATAAAAGCTAGAGATACTCAGGACAGATGTATTTACATTTCCAGGATCTTTTCCATCTGGTCTCTACAGAGCAAAAGTTTTTCTTCCTCCTAGTCTGCTTCTTTCGCTGTATATTTGAGTTTCTCTCAAGTAGAGAAACTCTATTTGATTTGCATGTGTAGGAGATTTTGACCTAGTTTGTATTGTGTTACTTCAGGGGTAAGAATTGGGGTTTGGGGAACCATGTGGTTATGGTTTGCTTTTTAAATGAATAATGAGAAGCTGATTTGACCCAGATCACCTTGGGTGTATATTCCTGATAAAATTTTTAATAAAGATAAATATTAAAACTTCAACATAACACAGTGTTAAACTCTATTGCAAAAGTACCTCCTTGGATAAGAGAATAGTGTCCAGTGTAAGTGTCAGAGGGCTGTAAGACACAGGAGCCTGCCGCTATAGTACTCATGGAGCCTAAGAGCTACCGATGTGAGCTGGGAAGCACCAGACTGGCTTCAAGTGAAATGTGTGAGAATGAATTTTGTTAAAGAGATAATAAGTTGAAAGATGATATGGTAACAACAGTGTCTTAGGTCAGTTTCCATAGAAGCAGAGCCTGAGATGAAGATTCTTTTTTTTTTTTTAAAAAGATGACTGGTAAGGGGATCTTAACCCTTGACTTGGTGTTGTCAGCACCACGCTCAGCCAGTGAGCAAACCGGCCATCCCTATATGGGATCCGAACCCGGGGCCTTGGTGTTATCAGCACCACACTCTCCTGAGTGAGCCACGGGCCGGCCCGAGATGAGGATTCTTGATGGAGTGACTTATTGGAGGCAAACGATCAGAAAAAGGGGAGTGACGGAAGCAGCTAGGGCAGAAGGAAAGCTGGCAAGACTGTTGTCTCGGCTGGAGATTAGCCTCATTCTGATCTCACAAGTAGATTTGGGGCACAAATTCCACCACAGAGTTGGTCCCCTCTTGAGGTAGGGGCATGGCCTTTTGCAGCCCCAAGTCAGTCAGATTAAGGTGGCTTCTCCCTTGACCAACGGCAATTCTTGAGAGAAGAGGGCATTGGCCGACATCCCCAGCAGCTGGGATCAGTGTACTGGCTAGTGAAGGACTCTGGGTGGGGGCACTACCAGCACCCATTACAAACAATAATGGGTGACATTCATTAGGCACTAAGCTTCCCCTGTGCTAAATTAATTTTTGTAACCCCACTATAAGAACTCTCAACAAAGAGGTCTAAATGATCATTTTAAGTGTAAGTTAAGTCTGGTTACTTCTCTGCTGAAAATCCTGCAATGTCTTCTCATTTTATTCAGTGAAGACAGAGACCTTACAACGACCTCAAAGCTCTATATGACCTGTCTTTCCTCCCCATCACAGAAGAGGCAGCCTTCTCCATAACTTTATGCAGGGAGTCCCAGTAAACCAAGAAAGTCTCTATGTTTTGGGAGAAAACTTTTTCAGAATGGATATTATAATTCTATCCCCTCCAAGTAACTGTGGCACCAATTCATAAGCTTACCATCCTGGCTTTAAGTTTTCTCTTTATTTTTGTCACCTAATACTTCTCTTTCCTTCATACTTAGCTCTGTATTACTTTGTTGTTGTATTTTATTCAGCATTACTAAAAGTTTTATTTAAAAGGGATCA